ATTACGTAACGAGTAAAGAGACTTGCCCGTAACGAGATTGAACTAGGTATTGGATACCGACGATCGAATCTCGGGCAAGTAACATACCGATGACAAAGGGAACAACGTATGTTGTTATGCAGTTTGACCGATAAAGATCTTCGTAGAATGTGTAGGAACCAATATGGGCATCCAGGTCCTGCTATTGGTTATTGACCGAGAATAGTTCTAGGTCATGTCTACATAGTTCTCGAACCCGTAGGGTCCGCACGCTTAACGTTTCGATGACAGTTTTATTATGAGTTTATAAGTTTTGATGTATCGAAGTTTGTTCGGAGTCCCGGATGTGATCACGGACATGATGAGGAGTCTCGAAATGGTCGAGACATAAAGATTGATATATTGGACGACTATATTCGGACACCGGAAGTGTTCCGGGTGATTTCAGAGAAAACCGGAGTGCCGGAGGGGTTACCGGAACCCCCCGGGGAAGTATTGGTCCTTAGTGGGCCTGAGGGGAGAGAGAGGGCAGCAGCCCAGGAGGTGGCGCGCCCCCTCCCAAGGGGAGTCCGAATTGGACTAGGGGAGGTGGGCGCGGCCCCTCTTTCCCTCTCCCTCTCCCCCTCTTTCCTTCCCCCTTCCTCCTTCCTAGTTGGACTAGGAAAGGGGAGTCCTACTCCCACTAGGAGGAGGACTTCCCCCTCCTTGGCGCGCCCCAAGGGCCGGCCGGCCTCCCCCCTTGCTCCTTTATATACGGGGCGGGGGGGCACCCCATAGACACACAAATTGATCTACGGATCATTCCTTAGCCGTGTGCGGTGCCCCCCTCCACCATATTCCACCTCGGTCATATCGTCGTGGAGCTTAGGCGAAGCCCTGCGCCGGTAGAACATCATCATCGTCACCACGCCGTCGTGCTGACGGAACTCATCTCCGGAGCTCTGCTGGATCGGTGGCCGGAGATCGTCATCGAGCTGAACGTGTGCTGAACTCGGAGGCTCCGTACGTTCGGTGCTTGGATCGGTCGGATCGTGAAGACGTACGACTACATCAACCGCGTTGTGCTAACGCTTCCGCTTACGGTCTACGAGGGTACGTGGACGAACACTCTCCCCTCTCGTTGCTATACCATCACCATGATCTTGCGTGTGCGTAGGAATTTTTTTGAAATTACTACGTTCCCCAACATTCCATTGTGGACCTCATGTCCACCGGCAGCGGACAAGTCATGGACTCCTTCAAGGATGAGTAGGCCACGGGAGGCGACAGTCCATTGTGTCCAATGTGGGCTGGTATGTCTCTCTTATTCTACTCTTCCTCGTCGGAGACCGCATCTTCACTTCATCGGTCTTATAGCTGGTGGTCATGAAGATGGAGGATGGAGGACGACACGGGCTTGGACGCTAGGCACAACCGCCGTAGGATAGGTTTAGGGTTGGGTCTTTTTTTTTGTTCTAGATGTTTGGAATATAATGTAAATCCGACGTGTTTGTATGAAATCCTTCATGTTTGTATTAAATCAGGTCGAGTTTGCATGAATTTCATCCGGTTTGTGAAAAAAAGAGTTTGAAATGTATGCGACTAGCGTTGGATGGTGTCCTCCCGCATCCGTGTCCGCAGACTGGACCCCATGGACGCGGGAGGAAATTTGCGGGTTGTCGTTGGAGATGCCCTTATTATGAAGAATTGATTTGTACATTTGGTAGAAAAGCAAACTTGTGAATAAAGAATCTTCGGGTTAGAACAGGAGGGTACTTTTCTCTAATGTTTGGAAAAGAAACAAAGAGAGTAAAGAGGCAAAGTTTATTTCTCAAAAAAAAGTAAAAAAGAAGCAACCTAAAACAGGTGAAGGTAATCCCATGGGCCTAAACGGCCCGAAGTAGGTTTTTTTTTAAAGAACGCAGACGTTCTTTTTTAGTCTTTTATGCAGAGTCCACATTGGGCTGGAAAGCCCAAGTGCTCAGGGTCGCACAAGGAGGAGGGATCAGCTTGCCTGAGGTGGTGCGTGCATGGGAGCCAGAGCTGGCGTCCACAGTGCACTGCACAGCCCCAAGTCCAAAGCTCTCCCCCTCCCGTGACAAAAAGTGGCGGTGCAGGTGCCGCCACGTCACAAGCTTTCCCTCTCTCCTGGGCGTTGACGCACACAGGCGACGGGCAACCATCGCCACATGGCCTTTTAACCCGTGGAGGTTTGCTTCCTGCTCTCTCGCCGCACAGTCTCAGCAAAACGGTGTCAGACTAGTATTGATCTGTGGGGCTAGTCTAGATTCCGTCAGGAATAACGACCTTCGGCGGGTGTGTCCGGAGCGTTACAAGTTAGTAGCAGAGCCGACCCTCGCGGTTACACGGATATTTGCGGACAGGTGCGCGGTCATGTTGTTCATGACGTTTGTGACCCGTCGTGGCACACGACATGGCACATGAGTGGGGGCTATGTGATAGACTGACTTATTAGGGATGATAGACTACTCATATCAATAAGGAATTCCATCGACTTGTTTTAGAGCATCTCCACTCGTTCCGTCAGGGACTTGAAATAGCTTCGCCTGGGACGCGCCGGTGAAATAATCGGTGTTGCCAAACTTGGCCAAAAATTCGGCCAAACACGACACAAATTCGGCCGAACTAGGCGATTTCATTGATATTTGTATAAAAACTAAAAACATAATTTAACAACTAACTAAAAACGACAACTAAATACTACTACTACTACACTGCTGCCGCCCACCTTCTACATGCCGAGGAGCCTGTAGAACATGGTGTAGTCGTCGTCGCCGCCGCCGTCCTTGCTGCATCCCTGACCAGCGTCGCCGATGCATGGGGGGTTGGACGGCCCGGGCACCTCCTCGTCGCTGTCGTCGAGGATGACGCCGCCGCCCTCCTAGCGCTCGCGGCGCCGAGGGGCGTTCTCCTCGAGGGCGCGGCGCTGGCGCGCCATCTCCTCGCGGACGTAGTCCTGTCGCGCCCATTTGAGGGCCATCTCGTCGGCGGCGGTCATGGCCTCGTGCTCCTTCTTCACGGGGAGCAGCCCCGGCTCGGTCTTCGGCCTGACGAGACGGGGAGAGGGAGGAGAGGGGCCACGGTCGCCCTCGTTGATGACGAGGCTGCCGCCGCGGGTGCGGCGCCCGATCGGCGTCTCCTGTGGCTCCGGTTTAACGGGGCGGAGCGCCGGCGATCCAGAGGAAAGGGAGCCCGACGACAAGGAGGTTGCCGTCTTCATTCGCCGCGGCGGCGAGAGAAGGAGGGTGCGCTGGGTACTCCAAGCGCGGCGTGTTGTCGGCCTCGATGTGTTCGAGGACGGCTTCGAGGGTGCGGCCGGGGACGCCCCACCATTGGCGTTGCCCCTCGGAGTTGAGGCAGCCGCGGAGCTCGACACCGTTGGTGGAGGCGAGCTGCTCCTCGTGGCGGCGGTTGAAGTACGCCGTCCACAGCGTGTTGCTGTCGAGGGCGTACCTTGGCTGGTTCCACGCCTGCTCCGGCACGATGAATGGATGTGCGCGATCTCGGCGCGCCGATTGGCTCCAGTGGGCACCAGAGGCACCGGGACATCGCCGACGCTGACCTGCCAGGAGCCCGGCACCCGCATGTCCGGCGGGGTCGGGTAGTCCGCCTCGTAGAGGAGGCGGGCCTCGTCCTTGTGCAGGTGGCGGTGGCTGAAGCCGTTGGCCACCGGACCGTCGCCCGGGTAGCGCTCGACCATTGTCGGCGGCGGGGGAGAGAGGGGAGACGCGCGTCGACGGCGGGAGGGCGAGGGGCGTTAGCGGCGTGAGGGGGAGAGGGTCTATGGCAAGGGGAGTGTGCGTTCACCGGCGAGGGAGGGCGGCTTTTATAGCCGCAGGTGGGCGGCGAGAGGGCGGCCGCCGTGTGTACGCGTGGCGGGACGCGTGTCGGCGTGCCTTCACCGCGTCCCCCCGTGAGGGATCAGTAGAAGGCTGACTATGCAGGCCCACTATGCTTTCGCGCCAAAAATGTTCTCCCCGGCGCCCCTGGGCGACCCAGCGCGCCGGTTTCGGACTAGGTCCGCTGGTGCCAAATTCGGCCGTAATCGATGAAAAATTGGTTTTTGAGCATGCAACTGGGTCGATTTTTCGGCGCCGGCGATAAAAAAGAACTGGGGGCTTGTTTGGGGCGCGGTTGGAGTTGCTCTCACGCCCGTGGAGTGGAGATCCCCGACGCCAGTCCAAAGCGTGCGGACGCAGAAACGCCCGCGTCGCGGGACCTCGGAATCGGACTATACATACACTCGACGCCGTTCCGCCGTGGCTGGAAACCAGCTCAGCATTGTTTGGTTTGCTTTGCTTCACGGTGGTGGAGTGGGCTGGGGAGGAGTACTTCGATCCGAGGAGGATGAGTTCGATCGAAGCGGGGCGCACACCGGCGCACGCCATGTACTGTATGATGCATCTACAGCGTACCACATCAGATGGACCAACTGTCGGATCGAAGTGCTCACGTCGCACGCATTATGCAGTTAATTTACTTGTGGTACGGTCACCTCGGCTATTATTTAAAAGAGGATGGTTTAACTTTTCACCGACGAGTTCGAAAGCTGCCGCCTGAGCCGATCAGCATACGGTCCACGGTCCACCCACCGCCCGAAATGGTAAAAGTCAAAACGCCAGTCTCCACTCTCCACACGCGTGCGAGCTCTCCTTCCCCTGCCCCTCTCTCGTCCCATCTCCACGCCTCGCTACTCTGTCGCCAGCCTGTTCGCCACGGTAAAAAAAGCACAGTAAAAACCCAGCCTCTCGCTCTCTCCATCTCTCACCTCGCACTCCTTCCCCATTTCTTCCACTTTGACCCAGCACGAGCAGAACCCGGAAGCGAGGCCAGCCAGCCGAGCCAGACCCAGAGCGCCCATCGTCACATAGCATAGCCTGCACGCTCCGACGCCGACCCCTATATAAACACAGCCACTATTCCCCCCGCCTCGCCCCCTTCCGGCCTCCCCTATCCCCCCACCGCGGCAGCTAGTCCCATTCCCACACCCGCGCCACCGTCCTCTCCGCGGCGCCGCGCCAATGCGCCACCCCTCGCCGCCGCCGGAGCTCCCCGCGGCCGGGGGTGAGATCCAGGCCATGGCGCCCGCCTCGGCCGCGGGCTCATCCAGCACCGGAGGCTCGTTCACGGCGCTCCTGGGGCTCCCGACCTCACAGGCCATAGAGCTCCTGCTCCCCGGCGCGGCGCCGGCGCCCGCGCCCGCGCCCGCCTTCCCCTCCGACCCGCACCTCGTCGACCGCGCCGCCCGCTTCTCCGCCTTCGCGTCGCCGTCGCCGTCCCCGACCCCTCCTCCCCCCGCCTCCTCCGCCAAGCGCAAGGCTGACCCCGCCTCCAAGGTACGAACAAGCGTGACGCACCATACCCTGTTCTCGCCGGAGCGAGGCTTGATCGTTTTTGCCTTGGATTGCTTGCCACAGGGGAAGGTGGCGAAGAAGGGGAAGACGACGGCGGGCGGCGGCGAGGAGAAGGACTCGGGCGAGGACGAGAAGCCGGCGTACGTGCACGTGAGGGCCAGGAGGGGCCAGGCCACGGACAGCCACAGCCTCGCCGAGCGGGTGAGCGCCTCCCTCCGCCCCGCCCGCCGCTAAACCCCCAGCAAAACTAATCGTCACGCTTAGTAAACCAGCACGGCCCGGGATTAGACTTACATTTTGCAATGATTGGGTGATTAGGACCTTTTGCCGCCGCTTCTAGTGCCTTTTCAGGGGCTTGCTTTTGTTGCTGATTATACTATTACTATTTGATTAAACTATTCAATTTTGTTTTCCTCGTGCTAATTTTTCTCTTGTAAAAAAAATACGCAGGCGAGACGGGAGAAGATAAATGCGAGGATGGAGCTGCTCAAGGAGCTGGTCCCCGGATGCAGCAAGGTCTGCAGTTCCTTCTTACCCCTCTCCTTCATTTTGACATGTTTATCCATCCGTTTTGCATCTCATTCTCACAGTTGAACCAACAGTAACTCAGCACAGTCCCCCCACCTCCCCCTGAAAAGATAAAAATGCCAAGGAGCCCTAGTGGCGCCAAGGCCCTCACACTCTCTGAACTTTGGCTGCTACGCGCAGAGTAGTACCACACATCTTTCTCCTGCTTTCGGTGCTTCTTTTTACCGCTTTTGGCGGCCACCGCAGCTCCTCCATAGAGAGTTCAGACGTAGTAGCGTCTTGGGTGCGGTATGGTATGGGCCGCGTGTGCACACGGCTCACTCGTCGCACGATCATACGAGTAGCAGCACACGTCTCGCACGGAAGAGCTTAAAGCCCAATCGCTCTCGCGCCGCGGGGGACAAGTACATATGGGCTTGTTTGCACGACGGAAGTGGGAACTAGTGGCGGCCTTTGGTTACTTCCTCGTCTCGTGGACGATGATCCGGTGCGCCTAACACGAGCAGGGAGCGGATGGGGTTCGGCCGCGGCCGCGGCTGTCTGGGCAGAATGCGGCAGCGGATTCGAAAGGCGTCGGGGGAGGCTAGCCTGATGGGTGGAGGGTGCTTGCCTGCTCGGTCGCTGGGACGGACGGACGCCATAGATAGTCCTCCCCCCTACCCTCGGAGTGTTGCTATCGCTCTATGCGCACGCAATAATGTCAATGCTCCCATGGGTAGGCATGGCATTGGCATCGTTGGGTGTGGAGGCGAAGGCCGGGTAGGTTTGGCAATGGGGGATGGATGGTCTTCTACTCTTCGTGCTTCATTAATGTGTGGATTTATGGAAAAGTGGTTGGCGTGTAGTAGTAGTATCTGCTCGGTGGTTTCTGACTGTCAGGATGCCGGCAGCCTTCGCCATCGAGGTGTCAAATGCCACTCGCTGTGAGAAGATTGATGCTACCACTCGCTGACGATTCTCCTGTGTGTGTTGAGCGAACTGCGTGTGTGGCAGTATCAGCGGATCGCCTTGCTGCTTAAAACATTCTGAACGGTTAATCATGTCGAAAGTTGCAAAAGTGGCCTGCCTAATGTTGGCTGGAACATAGCACAAATGACTGACGAGATCGATCAGGGTACCAGGCACCAACTTCTACAGTTCAGTTCTGCAATCAGATTTGGCACTGCTTTAGTACTACCTTTCCTATACCCATAGATGACATGGCTTTCTCGATGCGGCAATTTTGGTTATACCATTTCTCTCTCAAAAAGCTGTCGACGTCGACAGCCCTACCCTCTAAATACAAATCTGAATTTGACTTTGAGTGGGCTGTCATATTCTTGTTCTTTCCTTCCATTACATACATCGTGTAATATGTTGTAAGCCTATCCTTCATTGCAATAATAACTGAGCCAAAATGAGTTACAGTACTTCTCCGTTTCACAAAAAGACAACAGAGGTTTACTTGATCTGTGGGCTGTATCAGGTATCAGGAACAGCGCTGGTACTGGAGGAGATCATCAATCATGTTCAATCCCTTCAAAGACAAGTCGAGGTAACAACTGTTGCCCATTGTAAGACCTGTTCAATCATCCTAAATACCGTTTCACCTCACACAAACTTAACACACAATTCCTTTAATATGAGGGTGAAAGATAATAAGATGTTTCCCAATTGGGTTTCCACCCCTCCTAATTGTTTTTTCTTCTTCTTTTGCTAATTGTGGTTGGTCCAGTACCTGTCAATGAGACTCGCAGCAGTAAACCCAAGGGTTGACTTTGGTGGGCTAGACAACCTTTTGACTACAGAGGTATGCTAGTTTTGTCAATCTTTTTCTGTCATGAACTTTCCAGAAGTTAGGCCTGCATGGATTCATAGAAACAACTATTTTACGACATTTTGTTTCCAGATAACCATTAAAGATCATTGTAAACTGCACTCTGTGCGAAGTCCTTGCTCAAAATTTCCTAATAAGAATAGCCCTCTTCCCTGCATTTAGCTGCTTCATTTATTTTGACTGTTTTCTATTGAGACAATCAGCTTATGGAGAGAATCCTATGCCACCCACTACAACGACATTGAAATATGTTACTGTCCTTGTCCGGTTAAAAGGAAATATTTTTACTGAACCCAGCAATTGTAAGCAACTTTACCACTACGAGACGTGTACATGCCAGTTATTGTCCTCCAACCAATGCACACAACAAATGGGGACTTCTAAATTTGGGAATATTAAAATTGCCAATCAGTAGTGCTACCATTTGCCGGTGCTTCCTGAGCTTTATGGTTTCACAAATATTTCCGTGTGCGTGAAAGTTATCTGCCATTCTGCCGTAGTTGCCTATCGATTTATTGTTACTCCATTTCTAGTTTTGCCTTCAGAGGAAAAAAGACGCTGCCAGTAACAGTACTAGTAAAATACATATTATTGAAACTTGAAACAACGATAAATTGAGTATGCTCTGGACTAAACAATTTTACACTCGACAATATCATTTGAGCAAATTATATCAGTATATAGATATAAGTGACTGATGTTGAGGATATATGAATTATTGTTGCATTTCCAAAATAACCTGCAAAAGCTAATAATTCAGCACCTGTTCCTCTTTATTCCTCAACCTGCTGTTAATCTTAAAATGCTAACTGCGGTGTCTACAGTGTGGAAGGATAACAGGTTTAAACTGCAAGAGTGGAATGGACTTGGAGCAAGTCAGCTGGCCTGACATGGGCGTTCACGGAGCAAGAAATCTCGCGCAGCTACAACAGCAGTTCTGGCATGGTGATTTGGCACATCCACATCAGCCAGCTTCACAGTGGGAAAAACGGGGGGATGTACAACCCCCTGGCTTTAGCAACACCAGTTCTTCTCTCTTCGGCTACGATCTCGCAAGCTCTGGTAAAATTATCGAGCACACACACCTTTAACCTATTGTCAGTTGCTTGTCATTTACTTCAACGTTTCTCAGCCTCGCATGGACCACGACCATTGTCTTTTTCTCTGTCCAGAGTGTTTGAATAGATAGGTGAATGCAAAACGTGTGGTGTAGGCGTGTAGCTCAAAATGTGTGAATAGTGCATTCTACTAGGGAAATAGCTGAAGCTTCACAAAAGATAATCACTGACCACTATGCCCTAGCCCTTTTACGGCCACAATAAATCTCGGATATCATAGCATTGCTCTGTGCAGAAATGCAAGTTAGGCAAAATAAAATAAATAAAAAACTCGTAGAAACATGTAGTCTTAGTAATTTAAGTTGCATCTCGCTGACATGCTAATGGACGCACCTATCGTATGGAATATGGATTACAGGCTGAAACACATAGCCAATGAACATTCATTCAGTAGCAAAAGGCAGGAGCCTGTAACTTAAATCGGAAGATTTCGGAATGCATTTCTCGATTTCTTGGTTGGTCATTCAATCATTATTGCCATCATCACCAGTATTTTGGGTGGTAGGGGCCATGACTGTGTTCGTCCGGTGGATCTGTTCTCCCTGGCACCGGCGGACCCAACTGGTTGGTGTGGATGGGCCCAAATCAATAAATGCAGTGTCTAGAAACCCATAGCGCCCCCCGTCTTTCCGTTTGGGCTTGGCTGCATAAGGCCTGTAGATGCAGATCTGGTCCCTTTAGCGCTTCTGACCACTCGGACAACTGTGATGGGCCCACCATTCTGTATGCTGTCCATTACATGTCTGGGGGATCCCCATTCCTGTAATGGGGGTTGCCAGCTGCAACCACCTTAACCCCAGTGCCACGGCCTCTAGCATTGGACTGCGGTTGCTTCTACTGTAAATGTCTATCTTTTTTAATTAAAGGCAGTAGTGAAGTGGAAGCATCGAAAGTAAGTGGCAGTCGATTTGGTACGTGCAAGGGATGGCTTGTGAGGCTAGGATTAAGGTACTTGTGGGCCTCGAAAAAAATAAAACCATTGATGTAGATCATGTCAGAACGTGAGCATCTGCTCAAAATCGTGCGAGTTATGATAAAATGTCTGCTGTACAACAGTTTTTTCCTTTTTGCAGCTGCACTGTTCAAATAATGTGAGTGCAGCTTATGTTAATCGATCATATTCTACAGCTGCAAATGTTTTAACATAATGTGCACCTGTTAGTTTTTTTAGATCTTTTTGAGTTGCAAAAGTAGCTATACCTGAAACCCATGCGCCCTCTTGCATCTACAGAAACAATTGACACGTAGCCGGCCTATATTGTTTCGATTTTGGCATCAGCTGGCATACACCTCTGCCATCTGGCCAATTATTCCACTGCCCTGGCAGTTCAAATAGGCTGAATCCAAGTGACACAGAAACTTCCACAATAACTCGTACCACGTGACAACCTTTCTAGCTAAAGATGGAGCACATCACTGGATAGTGAATACTGACATTGATCTCGACATCTTTTTTTTTTGAAACAAGGCAAAAGATTTGCCATTTTCATTAATTAAGGAGAAGGTTTAGACAAAAGCCGCAGAGCGGCAAAAAAGAAAGATTACTCTCGCGACATAAGCTCACTCAGGTGGTTGGCTCCCGCCAACGCCCAAAGATGGGCCTCCTCTTTGATCTTGGCAACAATAATGGTTGTCGGTGAAGCCGTGTTGCGAAAGACTCTTGCGTTCCGCTCCTTCCACACTTCCCACATTACAAGCATCAGAACAGAGGCAGTGGCTTTCTTGATGTGCCCTCCAAAGTTTATCGTTTTAAGCCACCAATCTTGAACCGTGCCTTCATGGCGCCAAATCAGTGGCGAGTGGTCCTGCATGCCGAGCCAGGCGACCACCGCGTGCCAGATACGGGTAGTGAACCTACACTGGAAGAGTAGATGGGAGGCGGACTCTTGGACTTGTTTGCATAGGGGACAAAGCCCACAGTTTGGCCATCCTCTGCGTTGTAATCGATCCGCCGTCCACACACGGTTTTGGGTGATAAGCCAAGTGAAGACCTTGCATTTTGGGGGAGCCCAACTCTTCCATATTGTGGGAGCAGTTGGGCTGAGAACTAGGCCCTCGAATTGTGCCATGTACGCTGTAGCCGTCGAATATTCACCACTGGAAGTGAATTTCCAGGAAATGGTGTCCTTTCTATCCGGATTGAGAGCAACTTCAGTAACCAACTCCCATAAGACCGCAAACTCCTGGATATGTGCCACAGTGAGACCCTGTGTAATATCAATTTGCCGGACCCAGGAATTGTTGTCAAGAGCCTTACCAACCAAACAGGCCTTCTTTTTGGATATTTCGAAGATTTTAGGAGCGATATCTTTAGGTCGGAGGCCATTGAGCCAAGATGATCTCGACATCTTGCGGTGGAACCAATTGCTTCGTTATAGTGCACGGGGCCAGTTTAGAGGTCAATTCTTTAGCTATCTACCATGTGGCTCATGTCCTGAAACCAAGCCAGTCAGCTCCGTGATTTAGCAACCACTGTATGTTGCACTGCTTTTGTTGAGATCGTTACTGCTCTTGTGCTGCCACTAAGAGAAAAGTGAAGGGAAGGCCTAACAGCCTTGGCGATCTGCCGTTTGGATCTGGGGCAATCGATATGAGGCTCTGGATCCAAGCAGAGTGCATTTTGGAGAGACAGGTGCTGTTGGGGGTACAGGCCCAATCATGCAAAGCGTTCAAGAATCATTAAAACCACCACGGACCCCCCCCCCCCTCCTGACTAGATGATATATGTACTGCATTACGGCTGGCAGAATCTGTTTTCCGCCAGAAATTATTGCAGCTTCTTCGTGTACTGGTGCCTGCTCAAGGATGAGTGGCATACAGCGAGCTTTGTCCAGACTCCAGCCATCATCTTTATCACGTGACCCGCCCTTGCTGCACTGGAGAGAGCGATCGTTTCGTCACCTCACGTTGAAAATTGCCCTAATTGCTTTGGATTGTTTGTAATTTGATTCTCTCGCTTTGCCTTCAATCTTGAATTGTTATACTAGAAGACAGCAAAAAAATAATACATACCAGTCTTCCTGGCTCCCCTCTATTCCATGCCTGCCAATGCATACTATATCTTGCTTATGTGACAATATTCTCAAACTTTCTACCATGCGTGGTTTGGAAAATTTCCGTCTATTAGTCTTAACGTGCAAAACTGAGATGGAAAAAAATCGGAGAAAGCCGTTAGTTGTGTGAACCAGTTCATAACTGGTTGCCAAGCTGGTTACTCCTGGTGTCCTAGTTACTGTTCCGGGAGAATATCCAGCGATACCACAACTTACATATGCTCCCATTTTAGTAAACTCAAATTGAAATGTCCCCAAAAAATCTGATTCTTTTGTGAATGTTCACAAGACATGTGTACACGGATATTGTCTTTGGAGGCCGAGCTCCATGGAGCTCGGTTTTGAAAATTTTGATTTTGTCGAATTTCATATTTAAAAAAAAAATCTGGAAAAAAACACACATATACACGAAGGCATAACGCACATGTGTGTAAATTTTCAGGGCAAAAAAAGTTGAAATGAGGGCTGTGCAAAAAAGACAAATCTGGGGCTTTTTAACACATGATACTATTCATCCTCCCAGGCCATGAATTTGTCTTTTTTGTACAGGTCACATTTCAACGTTTTTCATTCTGAAATTTTACACACATAGACATAACATACTTGTTTACTTGCACAATTTTTTTCAGATTTTTTTGAAACTGAAAAGTTTGAATTTTGATTTGTTTTCAAAAAAAAAGGCCTCCATGGCTCCCGGGAGCCAAACATCTGCTCTCATGTGTACACCCCTATAAAATTCAAAATACACAAAGAGAAAAAATAATGACAAATTCAGCATGAATAGTGCCAATTTTTTGCTTATTGACACTATTCATGCTGGATTTTTATTTGTTGTTTGTCTTTGAGTATTTCGAAATTTGATTTAAATTTTAGGGGATCTAAACACATGCCTTGTGAACATTCACAGTTCTTTTTTTATTTTTTCTTGAAACATGTAAATTGGAGTTTTTCAAAATGGGAGCATGTTAGTAGTGGTATCACCTGATATTATCCTGTGGCTAATGTGCTAGTACCCGAGATCGAAAAATTGAACCCTAGCAACTAGCACTGACTTGATTATTTTCCATGTCTTTCTACAGGACCGCAGCAACCGCCAACAAGCAAGCTAAAAACAGAGCTGTGAGCTACATCAGTATATTGCAGGCCAGGAGAGCGAGCTACACATAAGCTGGGGGCGACGGCAACGACAGAATGCCATGGGGGGCAAGCAATCAAGACATGATCTGTGGGCGCCGACGATGGTCGGTGCGGTGCAGGGACTTGTTTCAACGACAGCATTTTGAGATGATGTACATATGGAGATGGTGATAGGAAATACTGTTCGTGATGTGGAGCTGAGCTGAAAGGCATGGATATGTGGATATCAGGTTTCCCTGATGCCATCCATCTATGTAGAGATGGGCGAGGGATACCGCAGTTTCTGGTTCGTGCTGAAATATTCTTGGTCGTATGCCTTCTGACTATAATGGCTGCATAATCTTAAGGTTGTATGAGCAGCATTGTTTGATGGACAAGGCCCTGTGGTTTTGCACCTCTGTTTGATTGCGTTCTCCAAATTTGGCAAGGACACGAGTTGCCTTTATATTTACTGCCCGTGCGTTGCAACGGGAGAAAAAAACATCCCTAGCAACACATCTATATTCTCACTTTTTTTTTCGTTAAAGGACATTTCATTGAATTGATTTATCAAGGTGATACAACCGCATCTAAAGAATGCCCGGCCTCTGCATAACATGATGCACATAGCCAACAAGTCCAACAACGAAAAAATAAACATAGTTTTGCAGAAAAATAAATCAATCCAACCTAGGGTGGGGCAAATCCTATATGGAGATTACACGGCCATCCATGGAGGGAGAAAACCTCCCTCGCTGTACGCTCCAGTCGTGTAGATGCCATCATGTACATGCACGAATAACCTGCACAGGAGAAAAAACCACATTTATTATTAAAAACAACATCATTCCTGGCAAGCCACAATGACTAGCATAAGGCAGCCGCTCCCACAAGAATATGTGCAGAAAATTGTTTATCAATACCCCGCAACCAATTGCTGAACATGTTACATGCACTACGTGGGGTATAGATTTGAATCTACTTGAACTATGGCCCATACTGCACGAGCAAACTTACACTCAAAAAATAAGTGTTTAATAGACTTTGTCATGTTGGCAAAAGACACATGTCTTACTACCTTGCCAGTTACGCCGTGCCAGATTATCTCTAGTTAAGATGACCCCTTTGCTTAAAAACAAGAGGAATATCTTCACTCTTAGAGGTATTTTTAGCTTCCACATTTTTTTGTTATCAACGGGAACATCAATATGAGTCATCGCATTGTACAAGGACTTGACTAAGAAACCGTTGTTTTGATGCAGTTTCCATCGAAACTTGCCCGGCTCGCTAGTCAGTTGAATATCCTCCAGACGAGAGAGTAATTCATTCCATGCTGCCAGGCGAGGGCCAAAGAGGTCCCTACGAAAAGAAATATCTGGGTTTTCTTGTCCCAAAACTTGTTTGATCATGACAAATTTATGTCTCACAATCCTATACAAGCTAGGGTACTGCACCATAAGTGGGGTGGCGCCTAACCAGGTATCTTCCCAGAATCAAACCTGAGAACCATCCCTAACTGCGAAAGTACCAAACTGAAAAAAGAATTCCTTGGCCTTCATGACACCATACCAAAAATGTGAATCGTTGGGTTCCAATGAACTTGAGAAATGGCTTTGGACCCCACGTATTTGTTACAAATAATTTCCTGCCATACTCCATTCTCAGTGAGTAATTTGTAAACCCATTTACTCAGAAGAGCGATGTTTTTAATCTCAAGATCTTGAATTCCAAGGCCCCCTTGACTTTTAGGACGGCATAATACAGTCCACCCAGCCAGTCAATATTTCTTGGATTCATTATCACATTGCCAGAAAAATTTGGATCTAAAGTAATCCAGACGCTGAAGAACCCCTTTTGGTAAGTGGAAGAATGACAACATGTATAGAACCATATTGCTGAGGACAGAATTGATCACAATCAATTGCCCCACATATGACAAGAGTTTGGCTTTCCAGCTGGCTAGCCGTTTCTCAAGTCTCTCTTCCACATGTTTCCACTCAGTGATAGTTAAGCGTCGACAGTGAATCGGAATACCGATATACCTAATTGGGAACTGCCCAAGTTGGCAGCCAAAAATGTCAGCATACTCAGTTGCGGACTCTACAGCATTGCCGAAGCAGAAAAGCACGCTCTTATGAAAATTAATTTTGAGACCAGAGAGCTCCTCAACTGCGCATAAAAGCAGCTTGAGGTTTCTTGCTTTATCTAGGTCATTATCCATAAAAGGAGTAGGGTTATCCGCGTATTGTAAAATAGATAGACCTTCTTCTACTAGATGGGGAATAACACCGCTAATTTGGCCGTCCACCTTAGCCCTCTGAACAAGGATAGCTAACATATCCGCTGCGATGTTGAACAAAATAGGAGATATGGGGTCGCCTTGGTGAAGACCCTTTTTAGTCTCAGAACTCCAGAATCAAAACTCTCAACCCATCGGTACCATTTTGATGAAAACCCCTTCATGCATAAAGTTTGCAATATAAAGGGTCATTTTACTTTATCATAGGCCTGTTCGAAGTCAATTTTAAAGATGACTCCGCTCAACTTTTTACGATGAAGCTCATTTATAGTTTCATGCAGCACAACCACTCCATCTGGTATGTTGCGTCCTTGCACAAACGTTGTTTGAGTGGGTTTGACCACATGGTCAGCCACCCCGTTCAACCGATTGCTGCAACCTTCGTAAAGATTTTAAAGGTGACGTTAGAAGGCAAATAGTTCGATATTGTTGAATATGACTAGCCTCCTTAGTCTTGGGCAATAGAATAATTTCCCCAAAGTTTAAATTGGAAATGTCAAGGTTGTCAGATTCATGGGTCCGCAGACCCAACAAGGTTTGAACTCTGGGGCATGTACGAAGATCTCAACCCCTCAAGCCTCGAGCCCGTCGCCCTATAGCCTAGCCTAGCCGATACGCACACAAGCGGGGAAGAAGATAGACACGATAGTTTACCCAGGTTCGGGCCACCTTGCAGTGTAAAACCCTACTCCTGCTTTGTGCTGGATTGGCCTCACGAGGAGGCTTGAAGATGAACTAGTACAGTGGGTGAGCTGCCTCCCGAGGGCTCTAGAGCGTGAGAATGAGTCGACCTCTTCTACGGTGGTGGCTAACCTATATCTATAGTGGCCTTGGTCCTCTTCCCTAGAAACTTAGGCGGGAAGGGATACCACAACGGCCAATTTGAAAGGGGACAAGAGGTACACCCTATCCTGACAAAAGGTGGTCTTCTCCTGCAAAGCTTCTGGTCGTGACGCAACGGTGGGCTCGGCGATTACATCCGTCCCGCCGAGCTCGTGGTCTTGGTCTCATTGCACCGGAATGGAAACCTTTGGAGGGCTCCTTCGGAGCCCGCGTCTGTCCTTGGTCCCTTAACACCGAAAGGGAAACTGACTCCTTTGCGCCTGTTGGCGCCCGCCTGACCTTGGTCATCACGGCTCACGTCACCGCAGCCTCGTGATCGTGAGGCTGGGCACTTGCATAGGAATCTCCGCTCCTCGGGAGGCCGCCTGGGGAGGACGCCTCCTCTGGAGATCTTGGTGTTGCTCGCCTCGTGATGTCAGGGGGCCCTCGCGAGGGTCTTGTCTTGGTAGTCTTGCAGATGGGCCCTATTAGGCCGTCGAGCGAGCCACGCTATGGGCTACAGGCAGGCAAGTCTCGATACCCTGGTTCCTAAAACGCCGACAGTAACCCCCGGGCCCAAGGCGCGCTTGGGCTGGCTTCGAGGCGAAGCCAATGGGCAAGGGCAAAGCACCGCGTGCCCTAACTGCCTACGGGCCAGGCTGACGCGTGGCGCCTGACCGAACACGGGCGCCTCCGGTTCCCCACGTTGCCTCGACAACTACTCTGACTTGGCAAAAGGTAGATGCACGTCTGCAAACCATCATTGCCCTATTGTGCGCTTGCCTTCTGCTTCTTCTCCTTTCACAAGCTTGCACTTTCCTTGACGGGCTCCGTGCTTCCTCTAGTCCGCCCCGATGCCATGACCCCCAGGAAGAAGAGGGGCAAGGCTCTGGCGGCGGCGGATCCCCCGGTGGGACCGGTCCACTGTGATTAATCAAGAGGGGCTGGACAAGGTCCGGCACGCGATCGCTGCCGACTCTAACGAGTGGAAGGCGACGAAGGTCTGGCCGGCTTCCCGGCTTCTGGCCGATCTGGAAGCTCCTAATATTCGTCTCCATCTTCACTCCCTACTCTCCGCTATTCTCCGAATTCTTCAACGCCGTGCTTACGCACTACCAGATCCACGCGCTGCACCTGGATCCTGGGTCCATCATCCTTCTCTTCGCCTTCACGTTCCTGTGCGAGGCATTTGTGGGGATCGCCCCATCCGTGGCCCTGCTCCGCCACTTCTTCTTCCTCCAGATGGTCGTCGGCGGGCAGTGCTCGGGGTGCATGTCACTCCGGGCGGTGGCTACGACTGCGGGTGCCGGCATCGACCCCACGCTCCATCCAGACACGGCAGGATTCAGGAAGTAGTGGGTGTATGTTGACGCCCCCATGTACAGTCCCTTGCTCCTGATCCCGACGGCCCCCGCAGAGCCGAGCTCTAGCAGCGAGCACGCGGAGCTTGTCGACCCGCTGCTCACACGGGTCATGGCCAGGTTGGCCGTCTTGAGGGAGGCGGGCATGACAATGGCGATGGTGGTGAAGGAGTTTGTCCGGTGGTGCATCGCCCCGCTCCAACGCCATTCTCGCCCAATGTGGGCATTTACCAGCCCCGAAGATCCCATGAGGCTTCAGAGTCCTTCACTTCACTCCAACACGCTGCGTGGAGTGCTCCTCCTCTTGACCGGAGAGGAGCCCGCCAATCTCCCAATAGCAAGGTCCCCCTTGTATAATTATTCGAACAGGGAACCTTCACCGGCAAGATGGCACGCTTTGATGAATGGGGGCTGCTTCCCAAGGACCACGAGGGGCCTCATGACAACCCCTTGCTGGTGACCCTAGGGTACAAAGGTGTGCACCCCCGTGACAGCTGTAGGGGGAGGTTCTTCAGCCGCGCGCTC